AATTGAGAAAGAAAATAATAGAGAAAGATTAAAAATGAAGAGGAAGAGATAAAACAAAAAATAATCTAACAGAATGATGTACACATGTTTAGGAAAAGCCGTGTATAAAAATGTTTATAGCACCACTATTAAAAATAACCCCCAAATGGAAAACACACAAATGTCTAGTAACAGTAAAGTAGTAAGTAAATGCGGTGTTTACAGAATGGGATAGTATACAGCAGTGAGAATGAATGACCCACAGCGACATGCAAAGTCGTGGATGAATTTTTCAAATCTACTGTTGAGTGAAAGAACCCAGATACAAGTGAGGACATACTCCATGACATCATTTATATCAAGTTCACTAACAGGCAGGCCTATTTCATGATGCTAAGAGTAAGAGAGTAGTGGGAGGTGACAGAAGGTGACAGTGCAGGAAGAGTGAGCAAAGAGGGTGGAACCGGCTCTGTGGGGCTGGGAACCGTCAGGGTTTTATCTGCTCACAGCTATGCAAGCATGTTTACTCTACGGCAATTCAAATTGTGTACTCATGAGGTATGCACTTTCCTCTACGAATAACACAATCAAAAGTGAAAAGTATTTTTTAAAATATACCTTTGTAGCAATATTTATAAAAGGCAAAGTGGAAGTCAAAGCTGATTTTCTTCAATATTTTGAAAATTAGCTCATTGCCTTCCTGCATCCAGCACTGCCTTGTGACAAAGTCACTTTATTTCTTTTTCTTCAGTGTCTCTACTTTTCATTTTTGAAGCTTTAAGAATTTTCTCTTCGATTTCCTTACTTTGATCTTCTTCATTTCATTTAATATGTCCTTAAGTTGGCTTTCTCTTATAAATGCCTGTTTGCCACTCTGTGAATCTTTTAGTCCTTTCAATGTGTACTTTATGTTAATGTTTTTCTGGGAAAAAAGAATCAGTCATTTTTTATTTACAGCCCTGGGATTTACAGCCCTATGAATCCTTAAGTAAAGGCTCTGTTCCAGCACCTTGTCAGAGGGGTGCTGGTGGGCGAACAGGAAAGGCTTTAGGAATTGAGCACTTCATTGATCTGTTTGTCTTTGTTTATTTTTTAAGAGCCAAGAACTCTGGAACTTGTTAAAATAAGAAGAATCCTCAGCATCAACGCAAGTG